GGTTGTGTTTTGATGCAGCACGGGAATGTCATAACTTATAGGTTCGGACAATTAAAAGTTCATAAAAATAAATACCTCGCCCACAATTTGGAGCTTGTCGTAATTATCCACGCCTTGAAGACCTGATGCCATTACTTGTATGGGGAAATATTTAAAATTTATATAGAGCATAATAGTCTAAAATATATATTCACCTAGAAAGACCTCAACATGCGTCTGAAGCATTAGATATAACTCTTTAAAGATTACAATTGTAAGATCTTGTACTACCCAGGTAAGGGTAATGTGGTAGTCGATGCATTCAGTAGGAAGAATACAGGTATGTTAGCTCATATAATAGTCTCTGAGTGCTGGATGATAAAAGTCAGACAACAGATGTTTAGCTCACTTACCAGTCTAACCCGAATTAATCTAGAGAATAAGGGAGGCTAAGTTTGCTGATTCCACTATAATAGCTTTCATATAGGATTTAGAACATGGTTCGAATTCATAGTTATGAGTTTCTATAGATGGGTTACTCAAGTTTCAGGATAGATTGTGTGTTCATAGTGATACTGAGTTAAAGAGAGATATCATGATAGAGACTCACAGTTCAAAGTTTACTATGCACCCGAGAATTACAAAGATATACTAAAGCATGCGACCCCAATTCTGATGGAGCGGGATAAAAAGGGATATTGCTGATTTTGTCTCCAAATACCCCACATGCCAACAGGTTAAGGCAGAGCATAAACTTTCAGGCGGGCTACTTTAGCCGCTAATAATTCCGGGATGAAAATGGGAACATATCACTATGAACTTTTTAATCGAATTACCTAAGGCGCGTTCAGGACACGAAGTGATCTGGGTAATTATTAATTGACTCACTAAATCCTCCCACTTTTTGGTTATCAGAATAATAGATTCCTTGGACAAACTAGCTAGATTTTTATTCAGGAGATAGTCAGACTGCATGGAGTTTCGATGATAGTGGCAGACAGGGACCTCAGGTTTACCTCTAGGTTTTAGACGAGACTTCAACAAACGATGAAAAATAAATTATCTCTTAGTACAACATTCCACCCTCAGATAGATGGACAATCAGAATGAACTATTTGCACATTAGAGGATATACTTAGAGCTTGTGTTCTAGATTTTTGAGGGCACTATGATGATTATCTACCTCTGGTAGAGTTCGCATACAATAACAGTTATCAGACAAGTATTGGTATAACTCTGTATGAAGCATTGTACAATTGAACTTGTTAGTCACCAATCTGTTGAGAAGAAATAGATGATAGAAAATTGATTGGCCTAGATCTTATAGATGAGACCCAGTGAAGAATGCAAAAATTAAGAAAAACAAGAAAGAAGAGTTATGCAGACACTTGAATTAGAGATTTAGAATTTGAGAAAGACGATCGAGTGTTCCTTAAAGTCATCCCCCTTAAAGGCATCACCAAATTTGGAAGGAGGAAAAAATTAAATTCTCGGTTCATCGGACCTTTTGAGATTTTAGACAGAATTGAAATATCTACATAGAGACTAACACTGCCTCCAGAACTATCTAGAGTTCATAACGTTTTTCATATGTCAATGATGCGCAAATGTAACCCTGATCCCTCACATATTTTGTCTTACAAGCCATTTCCACTTCATGAGGATCTATCTTATGAGGAGGTACCTGTTAGCATTTTGGACTGACAAAGTAAGGTACTTTGCAACAAAAAAATTTTCTTTATCAAAGTTCTATAGCAAAATTACTCATAGGACGAGG